TGGCGACGCCCCCATTATGGAAGGCCTAGACCGTGTGGCTGGGAAACTGGGGAACTTTCAACAGCAGGATATGGCGGTGACTTTTGATCTGGTTAAGGACACTGTTTCCTTTGTGTCAATATAATCTCTCATCCATCAGCTGCCATGTAGCTAGCTTGGGGCTTATTAGCTCAGTGCCAGCTGCATATATATATATGATGCATGGATCATGCATGTATTCCATCAATCACATACTACTCCTACATTGCTCCAATTCTTCTTCTTGATGTTTGTTGGTTTCATTTTCCTCCACTTCCTCATGTACTCTATCTTTTCATTTTCATATTTTTATGGGCAACTTTAATTTCTCCATCAGTATACTACGTATTTGATTGTGTTGGAATAATGGACCAAGTCCAATCGTATAGGCCTGCTGTACCTGAACTTTGGCCTGATCAGGCCAGCTCAGAACACATGCAGCCCAACTAGGGATTTCGATTCAAAACCCTTAAATGACTAACCACAGCCACTAAATTAAATAATAAAAAATAAAAATAACACAAATATCTTAATCACCCTTACTTTATTTAACGATCGTTAAGTGAGCGTTGTTAACCTTGCTACAAGAAGGCTTGAAAAACCTAGAAGCCTGGCGGGATAGAAACAAATGCAGAAACCTGGGAAGAAGCGCAGAGAGCCAGAGAAGTAGAAATCATAGAACGCGAAAGCAAGAAATGCAAAAATTCAGCCAATATTACTCCGCAATTTCCTCACCGGTGTGTGTTGTGTCTTTCTCCTGCTTTTTTGCTGTGTTCACTGTGAAAAACAATTCAATAATGGTATGTTTCATCATAGCCCCATGTTGTAGTTAATACATACGTAGTTCATAACATACATGGACGCAGATTTGATAATAAAAATTGCAATAATTAATATATCCGGACGGAACATTCATGATATACCCAAACATATACGTAGTATAACACACATAGTTACATAAGTATAACATGCATATACATTATGTAGAATATTACATGGATAATGTCAATCGGTCGTAGCAGTTCAATTCAATAATCTACTACTCCCTCCGTCCCTCTATTAAGTTCCTACTTTGACCTGCACACATATTTAGGAAATAAATTTGACTTTACTGTTTAGACACTGTTTGGCACTGTTTAGACACTGTTTGGCACTATTTAGACACTGTTTGACACTGTTTTTCACTGTTTGACACTGTTTTGATGTAGGATAACTTTTCATCTAGGGAAATGAGAAGATTATTTTAGGACGGCCCAAAAAAGAAAGTAGGAAGTTAATAGCGGGACGGAGGGAGTATAATATAAAGCAAAAGAATTACTAACTAAAGTGTAAAGATAAATAATTTATTACATTCTCAAAACTATCTTTTCCACATGTCATAAGTTTCCCATGCTGTTGGTGGGGTTTCAATGTAAGTCTCACTTGAAAATTATCACAGGACTATTAGTGGTGGGGTTTCAATAATTAATTACGGAGTACAATTTTTATTACTCCGTATTTCATTGTAGCTAAAACACAAAAAAACATACTACCTATGTACCTTTGTAGTTTGCTAACTTTGACTTTTCCAGTCAAAGATGATAAACTTAGATCCATTATTTTAACTACTATATATATATATATAGGGAACTCTTCCGGTAAGGTATACCTTACCGGAGCCGCCGTGCGGCCTCCACGTTTTGAGAGTCTTCCCGGTGGAATTTTTCGATGAAATTTTTTGAGCATGTTCTTCATCAAGTCTAGTACATCCATACCAAATTTCAGCAAAAAATTCAATCGGGAAAGTAGTCAAATGATTTTTGGAAGATAACTGCAACCTTTATATACATATAAAACGCAGTTATCTTCCAAAAATCGTTTGACTGCCTTCCCGATTGCATTTTTTGCTGAAATTTGGTATGGATGTAATAGATTTGATGAAGAACATGCTCAAAAAATTTCATCGAAAAATTCCACCGGGAAGACCCTCAAAACGTGGAGGCCGCACGGCGGCTCCGGTAAGGTATACCTTACCGGAAGTTTTTCCTATATATATATATATATATATATATATATATATATATATATATATATATATATGTATATATATATACGTAACAGTTAATAAATTTATACTTTTATGATAGTATTTTCAAAAAAGAACACTTTCATATAATTTTCTTATTATCAATATTACCGTGTATAAATATATAATCGATCAAAGTTGAACAACTTTGACTTGAAAATTTGTGTTTGGCAAACTAAAAAGGGACGTAGGGAGTATTATTGAAGGACTATTAGAAACAGTACTTCGGCCGTATATATGTCAAATGAAGTTATAGCCCATCCCTCAATCCCACATCTTGAGGCGCATTATTGGAAGACTATTACAAACAGTTTTATATGGCTGCTCTTACGTCTCCTATAAATCTGCAAAAGCTGGACAACTCAACACCAACATATAACCATTTATTTTCTTCTTCTTCTTTTTGCCCCGATGAAAGTAGCTACACATTTCTTTTTTTGTGTGTGTTTTTTCTTCATTCTTTCTTTCTACAAGTTTTAGCCTCTTGAAAGTAGCTATACATTTTCAAGTTTTAGCTATACATTTATTTGTAAATGTACACATAGAGAGATATAGTTGCAGATTAGCAGCCGCGGGGGAGTAGAAGTAATTAAGCAGCCAAAGAGCAACAGAAATGTACACAAGAGAAGAAACTTAGAAAATGTGTTAGGATCACAAAATAGCAATATACTCCGTATAATTTTGAAAATTAGGAAAGAATGGTATTTATGTAAAAACAAGAAGCCTGAATTTATATTTCTCCATCTCAATCATCTCATTACAGAAAGCACATATTTATACTAGTTCTTATGAATATTGCGGATACATCAACCTTTAATGATTAGAATATGAAAAGTCAAGAGACTCAAGAATTATTTCAACACATTAATTCTCAATACTCCCCCTTAATGTGCTGCTACAACTCCAAGAAGCTCCCTTAGGTGATGAAACTTCTCTTTGGGCAGTGCTTTTGTTAATATATTTGCCACCTACTCCTCACTCCTGCAATATTTGAGCTCAATCTCACCTTCTTTGATAACATCACGAATGAAATGATTTTTGACAGCAATGTGGCATGCACAACTATGATAAACTGGATTGTTTGCCATGGTAATAGCGGATCTGTTGTCACAAAAAATTGCAGTAGGTTCCTTTTGAATCTCACCAACATCTTTCAAAATTCTTCGCAACCAGATAACTTGAGAAGTAGCAATAACAGCTGAAACATACTCCGCTTCTGCCGATGATTGAGCCACAGAATCTTGTTTCTTTGAGGACCAAGAAAACATACCTGAACCAAGAGAAAATGCATAGCCAGAAGTGCTTTTCATATCATCAACACTACCTCCCCAGTCACTATCACAGTAACCATGTAACTTGACATTTGCATTCTTGTCAAACTTGATGCCAAAGTTGGTAGTACCTCTAATGTACCTCAGCACCCTTTTTGCTGCCCCGAAATGATTTTGACTAGGATCATGCATAAATCTTGACAACAAACTTCCAGCAAACATTATATCTGGCCTTGTAGCTGTAAGAAACAACAATTTTCCAACCAAACTTCTATAAATAGAAGCATCAACCTTCTTTTCACCATCATTCTTCATCAATTTCTCACTCACAATGAGAGGTGTTTCTACAGGATTGCAGTCATCCATTCTGAACTTCGCCAGAATATTTTCAGCATATTTCTTTTGACAAAGAAACACACCATCTTCATTTTGGTAAATCTCCATGCCAAGAAAATGATGCAGCAGGCCCATATCATTCATCTCATATTTTTCCATCATATCATTCTTGAATTCAAGAATCATTTTCTCATTGTTGCCAATGTAAAGCAAGTCATCAACATATAAAGTGAAACAATGAGAATAGAATTACCTTCAGTTCTCACATACCATACCATCGAATTTAGGAGGCAAACTTAGATGGAGAAATATAAATTCAGGCTTCTTGTTTCTTCAATAATGGACACCATACCATCAAATTTAGGAGGCAAACTAACAAGAATTTTTCCAACAATTCTACTATCTGGAACAACTTCACCAAGCCCTCTCATTTGATTAATAATACTCATCATCGTTGTATAATAATCTTGAACTCTTTCAGAAGTTTTCATTTTTAAATTCTCTAATTCTCTCCTATAACTTTGAAGGTTGACATTCCTTACCTTCAAATTGCCTTGGAATTCCCTTTGAAGAATCTCCCAAGCTTCTTTTGCCTTCGTTGCTCTCATAATTCTTGAAAACAACTCCGTTGACACACCTTGTTGTAGGAATGAAAGAGCTTTTGCATCTTTCTTCCAATCCTCCTTCAATTTTTTTCTTTCCCCGTCCTCCAACGCTGCAATATCTTCTGGTTCTTCAAAACCCTCTTCAATGTACTCCCACAAATCTTTAGAAATGAAGATTGTTCTCATCTTCACAACCCAGTGGTCATAATTCTCACCGGAAAAAATGGGAATAGTTTTACTTGAGGTACCCATGGGTTTGATACCGAATGTTAAGATCACAAAATAGCAATATATAATTTTGAAAATTAGGAGAGAATGATATTTATGAGAAAAACAAGAAGCCTGAATTTATATTTCTCCATCTCAATCATCTCATTACAGCAAGCACATATTTATACTAGTTCTTATGAATATTCTTGATACATAAACCTTTAATGATTAGAATATGAAAAGTCAATAGCAAATTCGGTTTACTTATCATTTTTGAACTTCTTTTTTTTTGATGATATCATTTTTGAACTTAGATCTTAAAGTTTTATGTTTGATTTCAATAAATATATATATATATTAGAAATCCATTTAACTAATTGACTTATGGCATATTTCACACGCAATAGTCATAGCCGCGTCGCAGTTGGTCTAAGGATACTCCTTCCGTGCATTTCTGCCGAAAAAAATCTCAGCTCAAGCCTAGCCATAGTCTGGCCAATTTCCTCCGGAGAAATTGTCACCTAACTCCGATTTTTACTCCTGCCTGTGTATCTCATAAACCCTATTAACTACCGCTACTAGGAGGACGTCAGAGAAGCTCTCTCCAGTCAACATCAATTGTAATCCGAAGAAGCAGTCTATGACGGTAATAAATCAATAATATTCTTCAGTTTAGTCCTATCTCTATATCCTCAGATTAGCTCGAGAAGGTGATGTCTTTCATCTCCATTTCAGCCCGTCATACTTGAAAATGAATTCCTGATGTTTTGATACATCAACACAGTCATCAATTCTTGATTTTATATGCATCTATATTCTTTCGTATATAAGCTATTCAATAGGCTAAGTTTGGGTGACAAAGTTGGGCTAGTCACTGGAAAATTTTCAGCCTTCTAACGAAAATATGTGTCATACTCCATCCGTCCCGCTATTAACTTACTGCTTTCCTTTTTGGGCCGTCCCAAAATCATCTTCTCATTTCCCTAAATGGAAAGTCATCCTACATCAAAACAGTGTCAAACAGTGCAAAACAGTGTCAAACAGTGTCTAAACAGTAAAGTCAAATTTATTTCCGGTCAAAGTAGAAATTTAATAACGGGACGGAGGGAGTATTATTTACTAATTGGCTGAATTTGTTTGTCCAGTTTATGCCTTTTGTGTTATAGGGTATGGAAGAGGCTGATGACTTCGCTACTCCCCCACAATCATCAATACCGATCTGGAGATCATCTCGCAAACTCTCACTCCCACGTAAACCTACCCGTGTAAGTGAACTATGCATGGTCAGACTTTCATTAATAGTTCCTAACCGTCTCTTTCAAAATATAAGTTACTGACCAATATCATGTTTCTACCTATTATAAGATACTGACGCTTCGTTTCGTATGTGCAGATTTACAAGAGAGTGGTGAAAAAGCCCTTAGTTTACAAGAATATAAAGTCCAGGAAAGTCAACACCTTTTCTAGACTATTTGACTCAATGTCTCTAGTAAAGGACAAGTTAAGACCTCATCAGCTTAAACTTTTTCAGAAAACAGTTTTTGGTCCCTTTTTGGATGTTAGAAAATGGCATGCTGTGGCCAACTTATTCATTTTCTGTTAGGAAATTTGGTAGAGTTCAAGGAGTCAAATAACTCGTTTCATATATATATTTTGAAATTGAGGACAAACTGGTTTCTTTTTCTATTTTGGACTTTACTAATATCCTCGGATTTAACTACCATGACACTGTCCCAAATACAGAACAACATCCAGATTATCGGGGTACATAGTTTTTGGCTGAAATACTTCCCTACCAATATTAAGGTCACACGTAATGACATCATGGGCGGAGCTAGGGGAGGGCCATCCCTGGCCCTGGCCCAGCGTAAATTTTAAAAATGCTTGTATTTTTAGTGTAAAAAAATCTTTGTAAAAAAATTTTCAAAAAAATTCTTTGTATCAGCCCAGTGCGGCCCAGTGCCCTAACTCCGCCCCTGAATGACATTAAGGTGTTATATCAGTCTTTGGTCAAGGTAGTGAACCTGATGAAGATGTAATTAGATTGTCGTTAATATATGTGCTATCCCATTGCTTCCTTGGTGCTGAAACGAAAATTCCACTACATAGCTAGTACGTTATGTCCTACATACGAGTATCCTAACACAATCTACGTCCATGTATCCTAAATGACTACATTTCACCAGAAACTACAACTTTAGTCCTATGTAACTGTTTAAGTTACTACCCACCCAGATTTTATCATTACACTAAATGCAAGGCCTACGTCCATGTTTAGTACTTTTACCCATTAACTCAGACAATCAGGACAAATGCAGACATTTGCAGTTACTTCCTCTCATGTACTCCTACCCCTGCCCAGAGGAGGATCTATGTTAGGGCTATGGTGGGCTGAAGCCCAGGACAAAGTAAATAAAAAAATCATTATTAAGGTATTATTTTTAAAATATTCCATCCAACCCACCTCAAAATTTTCTATAGCCCAGTCCAATTTTTCTGCCCAGCGCATAAAACAAAATCATAAAATCAAAAATCTGATCTAAATGTTATATGCATCGCTCTCACTTAATAATTGGCACCTAGTAGATACTATACGTATAAGGGCTTGATTAATTGACATGTTCACAGTAACTTGTAAAGTGATTGAGTATCTTCAAGGACATTGTCCAAATGTGATTTTTTGGATAGAAGTTCATAGTGTACACGGACACTTTCCATGTTTTGAAGTTGTGTTCTATTTACTTTTGATGCACAAAGTTATGGAAATAACGAGTATTCTCTATCAAGACCTTCAATTTTTTTTGGATATCTTGGTAACCATGAGACATGTTTCTAGTTTCTACTACACGTACAACTGATCATTCTCGAGGAATTGACAGAAAATGAATGAGAAGACTTTCTTGAAAACGTAAAGGAGTTTTGCTCAAAACACAAATTCATGTACCGGAGTTGAAAGCTAAATATATGGTTGGTCATTTTCACTTAATTATGAAAAGAAACTTTGTATTGATGGAGTTAACACTACTACAATAATGACATATCATGTCACCCATTTAACGTCGGTTCTGGAGAAACGGTCGTTATAAAGTTATTTTACGTCGGTTTTTTTGAAAACTGACGTTGTACATTTTTTAATATTTAATTTTATTTTCTTTCACGACGGATTGTCAAAGAACTAACGCGTTTTTTCTAATTTTAACTATGACGTCGGTTTTGTCAAAACCGTCCTAAAAATGCACACCTGTTTCAAAACGAAATATAAAATAACCCTGGATATACGGGCCCGTACTGAAATTTCCTCCCCCTTCTTTCTCTGCACGCGAGACTTCTTCGAAATCTCTGTCTCTATCTGCGATGCTATTCTTCTAAATCTGTTCGATTTCCTGCGGTAAAACATATACTCCCTTCGTCCCAAAATGATTGGCCAAATTTCCTTTTTTGGCCGTCCCAAAAAGGTTGGCCATTTCCATTTAAAGTAAGGAATATGTGGCTAAAGTTAATTCTCTCTCCTCTGCACAAATTTTAACCACACAGTTTTTACTTTATTAATCCAGTGCAAGTCAACATTGGCCAACGATTTTGGGACGGGGGGAGTAGTATTCTTCATTCAGACTGTCGCCCAATATAAATATGCTAAACGTGCGATAACAGGGACTGGAGGAGAAGCGCTCTCGAATTTAGAATGTTGACGACGCATATCCTAAGGCGCGATTGCGAGAAGGCCATTGTGCCTCAACAACCATTCGTCAACAAGTATGAATTTATATATAATTCATCTCGGTATAACATTTTCATAGTTTTTAGTGTCATTGAAAGTTCCGAAATTGGGGTTTTCATAAAAAACTAAATTTCGGACTTCGATTCGATTTTAGTATTGTTATGTGGATGGTTATTTACCCATGATTTAACTTTGTTGTCTGTAAATTTTCTTAACTACGAAATTGAACCGTAGGATGTAAGTTTTCTTTGTGCAATTTCAAGCGAAATAATGTATACTAAGATCATCCATGGATTTATAATGGATTTAGTACTTTTACCCATTAACTCAGACAATCAGGACAAATGGAGACATTTGCAGTTACTTCCTCTCATGTACTCCTACCCCTGCGGCTCAACAAACCTAGCTAGTTCGTCATTCTCTACCGTCCTTCATCCCATCATTTAGAGCAATTACAAATCTGACGAAGTAATTAGCAACGATCCAAAGTACTTCGCACATCCATAGCCGCAAATTCATATACCCTGCTACAAGACCATATTCCACATCTAAAGACAATGAAAGTTACCTTAAAAAATGTCCCTCCTTTCCGTCGAAAACTTTGTCGCTTGGATCTTCTTCCAATTTCATCCGTTTATTAAACACTGAAATACCCATCTCCATAAAATCCGAAGACGTGCAATGTTTATGTTTGTGTTTTTAATTAGTTTAGATTGATTATCACTTTGGAAATTAACACTTTTGGTGTAATAGTTTAGTTTGTAAAATGTTTGTAAATTGTTTAGATTAGGTTCATTCTGAGCTCAAACAGGTCCAAATCCACTCTAGGGACCATTGGTGAACATCACAAGTGGAAGGAAGTGCAAAAATTCCAAGAAAAAATGAAGATTCTGATTTTTGGTATTGTACCCGGTCGAGTATGCCCTATACTCGATCGGGTAAGTCGCTGAAAAATCAAATCGGATCAACCCGGGAACAAGGCAACGTGCAGGGAAGATTTTAACCACGATCGAGTGTCTATACCCGATCGGGTAGCCAACATACCCGATCGGGTATGTCCATGTTTTTCCAGCTTCCGCGAAGCAACTGGAGGCCCGGCCGAGTACCCTATATACCCGATCGGGTACACGACCCTGCTGGCCTAAAAAGCCTATAAATACACCCCATTTCCTCCACAATAAACAACCAATTCCTATATACTTCTAAGCTCAGTTTAGACAAGTTAATTCTTTATATTTTCTTCATGTTTAGTCTCCAAATGAGGAGCTAAACCCTTCCATCTTGGTTTTGCTACTTTGAAGCTTAATGATTTGTAAGTTGTGAGTTATTTTCTTTAATCTTCTTCCTTGAATATTAATTACTTCCTATTCATATTCCATATTAATATTTTGAGCATTACTTAAAGGATCAATTAGTTTTGTTTCATATATTAATTATTACTAGAATCAATCGGTTAATACGCTTGTTATTAATTCGGTTCTTTCAATTGTAGTAAACTTGGGTTGTTAATGCATGCTTCTCATGGTTAATAAGCCAAGAGGAATTAATTATATTGATCAAACCAATAAACCGCTTGTGTTGAGGTTATCAATCTCAATCGTTTTCATCTTAAGTTTATTGCTACTATCAAGTTAATATACGGCGCTTGTTCTATATTGACTCGATAGTAAGTTTTATTAATGAACGCATCTCGTTATTAATAACTACCCTCGATGAACTGGATATACTCCTCGATTGAGTATTTGAGAGGAAGATAGTTAAAGGTATAACCGGGATCGACGAACATTTCATTAAGTGGATAAAAGCAAAACCAAGTCTTCTTCTCATTAATTAAACCACATAACTCGTTCATCTTCGTGCTTAAATATAATTTAAGTCCATTTACTCAAACTAAAACCCCCCTTGTTACTAGTTTATAAAAAGAGAAGTATTTCTTTCCCTGTGGATACGAACCTTACTTCATTATACTACGTATAATTGTTGTATTGTATTATTATTTTGAGTGCACACCACGACACAGTGCACGTCAAAACTCTTGAGGGACAAGTCTGTATTTACACATATTCATAAAATGGGATCCGTGTGTTTTCCTTGCCTATTATTAGCACAAGTCACTTTTTTGTCCATGTAATTACTAGTGGGAATATTTGGGTAAAAAGCTCCTTTCTATGTGTGTTTGCTTGAATGCAAATGAAATGTTGAGAGATTAATAACAATAAATGTAGTTGGATTAAAGAGTAAAAACACTTTTTGCTTCAAGTTTTTCAAATGTGACTATAATGATAAAAATAGATGCCTTTTCGTATTGTTTAGTAAAATTTGCTCAAATGCATGTTGCATCTCTTGTAACTCTGGAAATTCTAGTGGTCAAAAAGATGGGCAAAAGGACAGTCTGACAGTGGGTGAAGGGTAGCAGCCCGCAGGCACTCCCAGGCTGGGAATCAGAGGTTCTTTTTATGTCTATCAGACTACAACCCAACTTTTGTTTCCTTTCATCTTTGAAGAAAGACAAAAGGGTGTGCTATACATACATGAAATCTGTCAATAAATCAATCAATCTGATAAGTGTCTGGTCTATTAGAAAAGTGCGAAGAAGATGAAGATCCCGGCAAGAATGGCGATCACAACCCTGAAGCCGCCGATTCTCACGGCGGCGCTCTCCAGAGCAATGGGGAACAGACAGTCATTGGTGGACGCGTTTTTCTTCACAATCTTGGCCAGTCCCTGGAAATCGCAAGCCTCTACATCCTGACTGTTCATCTGGTAGTACATATTGAAGGCATACGAAGCCTTGTTCTTCGAATCCAGATTCTCGCACGATGATCCGGCGCTCAACGCCGTGCAATCCGAGAGCGAGCAGGCGTACTGAATGTTCGGTCCCAGCTCGCTCCGGTCATCGGCGTCGCCGTCGAACACGCACCACTGCGCCGGCATGTACGGCACGTTCTTCGCCCCCACCGGAAGCCTGTCCTGCCCTTGCCCGGAGAAATCGATCGGGAATTTCGGCTTCCCGTCGTACCCGAATATCCCCCAGTGCCGCTCGAAATCGCCCGGCGCCACGCTCTTCATGTTCTCGTCCGTGAGGCTGAAGAGGTAGGCGTCGATCTGGCCCGGATGCAGCGGCGTCCCTTTCTTCGCCGCCATTTTCTGGAGAAATCCCCGGTAGAATTTCTCCGCCAATTGGGTGTTCGCTTTCGGGTGGCCGTCCGTCGGCCACCCGATCTCGCCGACGATCACTCTCACGCTTTCGCACCCCGCTTTCTTCAGCGACCACATTAGCGTGTCCAGATTCGCGTCGAACATGTTCGTGTATGACACCCCTTTGTCGACGACGGGCTTCGCTCCGCCGTCGAAGAAGGCGAACTCGATCGGGAAATCGGGGTTCTGGTAGAGGCTGAGGAATGGGTAAATGTTGACGAGGAAGGGGGCGTCGTTGTCCCGGAGATAACGGCAGATCTTGATCATTAGGTCCCGGATGTCGGACCGGAAATTGCCGGCGGACGGGCCGGCGGAACCGGAGTCGTATACGTCGCCGTTTTGGGGAATGGTGGCCTTGATCTTGTCTCCGATCCCGGCTTCGTTGAGAGCCTTCTGGATGTTCTGTAACGCGGGGAAGGTTGTCTTCAAGAAGGAGCCGTTGTATGCCTTCAAGAACGGCTCGTTACCCACAGCGACATACCTGTAAAAGTTTTGATTATGTCAATTACAATATTGGAAGCAAATGATTTCAATATTAATAAATGATAAATAGTGATTTAGATTAATCATTGTTGGTGTAGTATCTTTGTGGAGTAGGGTAACTGTAACTCCCACCTTAATTAAATATTGGCTTATACTACTTCCGTTCTTAAATAAGTGCAACATGTAGAATTTTACACTATTCGCATGTTCTATTTTGACTACGTTTAATTAAATAATGTATTAATATATTTTCTTGAAAAAAATTATTGTTAAATGTGTCTCATTGTAAATTTTCAAAATCTATTTTTTATCTATTTTTTACTAATAAAGAATTATATATATTAATGATCAAAGTTATGTCTCGACAAATGTGAAATGTTGACTATTGCACTTATTTAAGAATGGATGAAGTATAAAGTATATTTTAAGACCCTTCAAAGATAATGCTTTTTGTTTTATTTTGTTTTTAGTCTATCTCTAACTCCTACACTACTCTATTTAGAAAAAAAATTGTTAATTGCATAATACTACTACAAAAATTTAAATTTGTGCTATTATAATTCTTTTAGGTTAATATGAGTGTTAAAACAATGACTAAAATTTTTAGAATATGTATTAACAATATTCTAAAAATAAAATCAAATTATTGTTGAATAACATGACAAAGAGTAAGAGGAAAGATATTAGTCAGAGTTGTTTCATTATCAAATGGAGGTTGTCATCATCAGTGATGAACTAAAATGACAACCAACATAAATTAAAGGGATAAATAACAAAAAAAACAATGTAAGGACGTAGAACAAAATATACTACATTTGAAGAGACTAAAACATATTTAAACCTTAAATATTGTATTTCCTTCTTTTCTTTTTAGACTCAACACTTTCATTTTCATGTTTGCTAGCGCACACTTTAGCACGCAATCAATATATGTAATTCTATATTAGTAAAAGAAGGGAAAAGGTGCAAATAGGCCCATGTACTAACCAAAAAAGGTTAAATAAGCCCTTATTTAGGAGGTTCTGTCCGGCCGTCGTCATTTGGAGTGGTTCCCGGTGGAATTTTTTGATGAAATTTTTTGAGAATCTTATTCATGAAGTCTAGTTTACTCATACAAAATTTCAGCTAAAACTTCAATCGGGAAGGCATTCAAATGAATTCTTGAAAATAACTGCGCAGTTAGAAGCGCAGTTATCTTCAAGAATTCATTTGAATGCCTTCCCGATTAAAGTTTTAGCTGAAATTTGGTATGAGTAAACTAGACTTGATGAATAAGATTCTCAAAAAATTTCATCAAAAAATTCCACCGGAAACCACCCCAAATGATGACGGCCGGACAGAGCCTCCTAAATAAGGGCTTATTTGACCTTTTTTTGTTAGTACATGGGTCTATTTGCACATTTTCCCGTAAAAGAATTTCAAATCCGATTTTGAGAAATTGCGTTGAGATGAATTCAACAATATCTTTCAAAAATTAAAGTTCTCATACATTGATAAATAATGTGTAGTCAAAATTTAATATGTAAATAGTGTGAAATTCAAGGTTAAACAGTTAAAAAGGAATAGAAGAATGGGGGCTAAATTCACGGTCCCAGACCGGTCAAGATCAAAATAGGCCGATTGATGCGACCAAATCAAGACCTTTTCGATTCGGGGTTGAGATTGGCGCCGGTCCGGATTGATTGATTTTGGTACCGCCCCAGTCTCGATTCGATCCTTTTATTTGCATTCTAAGAATTAGAAAAAATTTAAAAGCTCTGAAAATCCATTTAAAAGCAAAAAAAGCATAAACAAGGGGTGGGGAGAATTAAAAAAAAAAAGATTTGGTCCAACACCTAAACCAGACCGAAATAAAAAAAAATTGGTGCCGCTCTCCGACCTACCCCACCACTAGGACCGGACGGTATGGGACCGGAATCGGCCCGTAGAACTATAAATAAGGGACCCGAAAGATAAATGTGCTAATATAGTATTTGAATGATTGCAAAATTTCGATCAAAGATCTAAAATGTTACGAGCATAAATTTTGATTTATTTAATTGTTTATTAATTGCATTTCTAATTTTTTATGACTTTTCTTCACAAAATTAATGAGTTTTGTAACATTGAATAATATTTAAGTTTTTTAAAATATAATAAAAATCTACATAGTAAAATTCATTCCCTCTATCCCATTAAAATATTTCCATTTATCGTTTTTAGGATGTTCCAAAAAATATTATTAATTTAATTTTGTGTGGTTACATTGATTTATCTTTTTATTACTTAATCAAAATTATACATTTGTTCACTTTATTAAACTCTGACCAAAGTGAAAGAATTATAAATGATGGATGGAGTATCATATTGTAGATTTTAAATTGATGGTTTTCAACTTTAAAAAAAAAATTGATGGTTTTCAATTATCCCGCCCATATAAAATTCCTAGCTAATGACTCACTTGATCTTAACGCCTCGATCATGTAAATGAGAGCTAATATTTTCCTTGACCCAATCCTTGGCATTGTCAAAATCATCGGCAAACAGCTCGAGCTGATTGTTCGGGATCCCGGGCATGACCTCGATGCCGGTGCCGGCGAAGAAGTTCAACGTCCACTGGTCGGAATCGAAGAGCTTTATCTTGTCAATGTGATTGTCCTTGAGCATCTGGGCGATGATGGAAGGCTCCAAGACCTGGGCGGCTTGGGTGCCCCAATTGACGCCAATCCCGTGGACGGCGGTGAAGGCGAGGCAGAAAGTGGTGGCCCATATCGCGAGCAGCCGGACGCCGCCGTGGGGCAGCATGGTTGACGCTGCAGGGGCCGCTAGCTATTTCCGGATCGGAGACTTGCTCGGAGATTTCGGGAATTATATGTATTGGAAATGTCGCATGGAAGGTAGCTAGCGGGTTTTGATTGAGGGCCGGTGGATATTGTTGGTGCAATGGAAGGAAGGACTGGGAGGGAGATATGAGAGTTGGTGGAGCCGCGAGAAAACAGAGAGATTGGCGACGAGATTCAAATATGGAGAAGCAGAGGTACGGGTGATCACTCCATTCTTTGAGGACTAGATTTTCATGAGTATAGATTAAGTGATACCAATAACATGTTATTTGTTAACGTTATTACTTATTAGTTAATGTGTAGAGAATGCGCAAAGAGTATAGATTAATACAACAACAAAAATTAATTAAGGAAAAAGATAATTATGACTCACAATTTATACGAAATGTTTTTTGAAATAAGAAGGAATAAATAAATATTATAATAAGTTTTTGCGGCCTACATATTATGAAACAATTTTTTGTTAACATTGGTCGTATGATCGATTTGTTCGTCATCTTCACCTTAAATTTATATTTTCAAATTCTTACGATTTATTACTCTCAATACTACAATACGTAGTATAATACGTAGTATGGAGTATTTTTTTTCCTGCTAAGATCAGAGGTCACAGAGAATTGACTTTTCATTTGACATTGTGTTGTTAGAAAATTAACATGACAACACCGTTCTTCAATGATGTAGCTTACAATGTTTGGTTCACTATATAGAAAACCAATAACAAAAATGAGAGCGTGATTGACATTATTCAAACAAATGATATATAAGTTTCACCGGGACCAAAATATACAATGTAAAAAAATAAGACTATGTATGTCTAATTTTTCTAATAGAACTTATTTAGTCTTGTTAAAAGAATAAATTCCTTAGAACATCTCAAATAAGAGTGAATGATTCATATTTTAGGAATAAAATTATAAAATTTTCGTTTATCAATTAATATTTCTTTATTCCTATTTAGGAAACGTTATCTAAATGATACTATAATAAAAATATCAATAAATAACATACTAATAATTAACCAAAATAATAATCATAATAATTATAATAATCGTTACAAAAATAATAATTAGAAACATCATATTGTTTTTACTTGAATTTACTTCAATTCTAGACCATATCAGACGTCGACAGTTGTAAAATACACGAATACCATACATTTACCAGATTTGTTCAAATCAGAGCAGACCAGACTGAATCAGTTTTTTTGGCCAAATAAAAACATCCTAATAATATAACAAATTAACAATAATCATAGAAACATATCAACAATAACCATAACAATATACGATAGTACAACACTTGTAAAAGCATAATATAACAGTAAAAATTATAATAATACACATAAATTCTCATTCTTCACAGGCCGGATGGTTATTTCAAAATGATGTAATCCATTCCCACGGCCCAAAACCGTAAATTAAATCTACCCAGCCCAGCAACTTAAACCTAACACACCCTATTTAAACTCAGCTTCCTCCTTCGGCCTCCTCATTTATCCGTACGCCGATCACTTTTCAGTCCATCGGTTCTTACGATGGCCTCTATTTTCACTCTGTTTTCTTGATTCATTTTTCATCCTATTTGTCTGTTAAACGTTTGTTCTTCCACTCACCATCTTCAATTAGTGTTTCTTCATCTCACCACATCGTTGCTCAAATACCATCGTCGATTATTCACCACTGATTGTCCGCATCGTCGTTTACCGGAAGTCAATGGCATCGTTGGATGTTCCCATATTCTGTCGAGGCTGAGGTAAAATCGAAGGATCTCTAACCACGCATGCGTTCGTTTCATGATTTTTGTATATACCCTGCATCTTCGTTGTTTTATCGTGATTTTCTTGAACGGTTATGTAATTGGATTTGTTTATCGTTTTTTTCATGTATGCACTCATCATTTCTGACTATTTATATGTATAGTTGCATTACTTGCATATGGTTTGGCAAAAATTGCATGTTTAAACAGATTTATAATGTAGACAAAATCTGTATTTTGTTGCCACAAAATTCCTCTTTAACATTTTTTTTACATGTCTAAACCAATGTATATATATTTGCGTATGGAAATTTAGATCTACTCAAACTTATAAATAATATGCATGTGTGAATATGATGTATACCTATTTGTATTTTTAAATGCCAGCAATTGTGAAATTCTGGATTTAACCTAGCTTTTGTATATTTTGTGATATATGACGTTTTTGTTTGAACCCCATATAAACCATGTATTTTGGATACATCTATAGATTTTGTTTTTTTTTTGAATTTATTAAAATGGTATGTGATATCTGATTTACTCGTATATAATTATTACACATTTGAAATGGATTAATCTAAAACCGTCCTTATCCATCTTTTTATTCGTAAATATATACGGAGTATTTTTTGAAAGGCCACACTAATAGAGTTTATTTTTTAAAAAAATAGGCAGTACTCACCTTTTCTAAAAGTTTTTCTTTAAAATAATATTAGCTGAAAATGACATTTACATTTCTAGATTAGAGCAATAGCTTGCAAATTGGATTGCCTAAACCACATAAAGCATATTACTAAAGCTTTTGTTTTTAAAAATGTGTAAAACCTTGTATTTTAATGAACACTTGTGAGTCTAACACCAAGTGAGTCTACTCATAATTACACCATATTGAACTACTAATCCAATTTGCTTGTTGGTTATTCTTGGCCTTGTCCTAGGACTGCCGCTCACCCTGTCATTTACAATGAATGATAACCGTTGGTAAACCCAAAGTTAATGTAACTTGAACTGACTTTGCTTTTATTTTCTAGAAAGCATCAAGGAGCACATATAATACCTCTTGTCTTGGAAAACGACTTCAGGCGTATATCCACCTTTGGAAAGAGCCAGAACTTCAAAAACCCTCATGACCTTCAGTCTCACAACCTATTTCTATTTAGTGTGATCTACATTCTGTAAAATGTTTTACTTTGTTAGCATTGCATTTCAAGTATTTATTTATCAAACTTTAAGCATACCACAATGATTTGAAATATACCTCTTCATCATGCAAGACCATTTCCAGTGTTTGTCCTCCCTTGGGTCTTGGAATGACGAATGAGCAGCCACTTCGTAAGCTCACTATAATCCACTTCTCTTTCAACTTTCTGCCATTGATGGGCTGTGGAATTTTGTGGTGAGATTTGATGTGTTGAGTAGGGTTTATATAGCAACAATATATTACCAACTTAGTGGCCAATGAGTTGGTGTAGTGCGAACAAAATGTTTTAAATGTTGTTGCCTCTTTTATAAAAAAATATCAACCACCTTGGAAAGAACATGATTTTGCTAACTGTAATTGTAGGCAGGTTAAAGTTGATACTCCGTATTAAGCATCTTGAGCAGGTCTTTGTCAAAGGGGTAGTTGGAACACTGAGCATTAAATGCTGCTTTAGTTGAAAGTTACACGCTACTCATGCTCCTATATTTGCATTGATTGCAATCTTACTACTTTTAACATCAAATATAATACAAATATATAAATAAAAAAGATTGAACAACTATATTGCAACCAATGTGTCACTCTAGCAATAAATGCTTCTCGAGGCTGTTGCAATCAATACCCAATGTGATGTATGTTTTTGACATATCAGATAGACAGCAATTAATATTCTTCAACTCACTTCGTTCACTGTGCTAGGAATTGACCCAGTCCATATCAATAACTCGACCCATATCTGACCCAGAACTCTAGGCGGGAAAACCACTTGGTTTTCCACCTCTTTTTATAGAGGTAGATGACGATAGGCTTGTAAAATCAATAGAAAATCAATAGATTTAGAGTCTCTTTAGTACTCCGTAACAGGAAAATTTATGAAGTTAGGGCTGAAGTGACTGCATTGACTGATTCTGTTGATTTAAGAAAAAATTAATTTTAAAATATACTACCTCTGTAACTTAAAAATCTTCCTATTTCAAAATTAGGTACATTAAGAATAGGGAAAGAGGATATGAATTATTGAGGGTATGATGAGAAGATAGTATAATAATGTGATGAAATGTAGGATAAATCCAAAAAAAGTAGTTGTAATAGTGTATTATTTTCAGAATTATTGAGGGTGTGTTGAGAAAATTTAGAAATGGAAAGATTTTTTTGTTACGGACGAAAAAGGAAAGTGGTGAGATTTTTTAGTTACGGAGGGAGTATTTATTATTAAATCAATAAAAAAATATATGTAAAAATAACTAAAATGGTCATCTACAGTAACTTCAGCCAAAAATTACGCGTTTGGTGAGAAAGTTGGTAGATAAACCTGGTAAGCCGAAAAAGAGTGTTACCAAATGACCTCTTATATTTTGTAAATTGTTTAATTACTTCAAAACGCAGTCCAACAATTTTACACAAGATGATAACCAAAGCACGTAAAACCATACAATTTTCACACAATTATTACCTAAATGGAATGCCAAGGTGCCCTACTATAAGATGTACATTTGTACCATGTACCTTTCTCCATTTTTTATTGGTACTCTTTAATTTTTCTAATCAATGATTATAAATTGTGATCCATCAGTTTAATTAATACTCACTTCATCCCCTAACTTTGTCCTGTTTTACCTTTTTCGTCCGTCCCATTAAATTTGTATCATACCATATTTGGTAATATTTGGGTGGTTACAATTCATTCTTACTTTATTTACACTTTTTCAATTCAATATCGACCACACAATTCCACTTTTTCTTAAAAGTTGTGTCACACCCCCTTTGTGAGACATTTTATAGTACATAGTGGGATGAAGGTAGTAGTTAATAGTCCCCCGTCCCGCTAATATTGTCCAAATTTTCTTTTGTGGTCCGTCCCACTAAGATTGTCACTTATCAAATTTAGTAAAATTTGTGTGTTCTAAATCATTCTTACTTTATTCTTAATCTATCAATTCAATAGCAATCACATGAACCTACTTTTATTGGTATGCAACTATGCATGTCATTATTTCTTGTATCATGGAACGGCCGGACGAACATAGTACTTCTTATGTCTTGTGTTTAAGTTCTCATTTTTCTTTTTTGTGATGTTACAAAATTAAATTCCACATTTTTATTTTTGGATATGTTTTGACTTTTGACATCAGGACTTGATATCCCTAGCACTTGTGAATTTGGTTCCTCTCCATTAACTGGAACACTCCATTAGGAGAGAGATAGAAAGAGGTGGGGAATGGTGGGGTAGAGAAAAAAAAATTATGTTTAATTATTTTTTTAAGGAGAGAGATAGAGTGAAAAAGAAATGAAGAGAGTAAATGGAGAGAAGGAAATAGAGAGGAGCATGACCCAGCACTTCTACCCATATCCCCGTCTGGTGTCGGTCACCCGACCTTGTATCTTTTTCGTCTCTTTTCTTCCCTAGTTTGTTTCTCTATTTTCTTATTCTCTTTCTCTCATTTGGAAAATTCTTTACACACACCCTGGGTTACACCATATATAACCCCCCCCCCCCCCCCCCCCCCCCCCCCACGCCCATTTTTCATTTCTTCCCTTCCCACTTTTTTCTCTCCCTTCTCTCTCCACTCTCCCCTTCTCTCCATTTTGCACCATACGAACCCCCTCCCCCTCTTTTCTTCTTCTTCTTCTTCTTCTTCTTCATCTTGTTCTTTCTTTCTTCCTTTCTCCTTCATCATCTTCTCCTTCTTTTTCTTTCCTTCTCCCTTTTTCTTTCCACTCTCTTGAATCATTGTTGTTCATCATCTTCTTTTTCTTTCCTTCTCTCTTTTTACGTTTTATGCACACCGACATTGGTTTGCTTTCAGTGTCTGTGTACACCGACGAAAATTGCATACGTACAAACACTTTTGTTTCTACACAGACAACTAATGTCTGTGCACACCGATGAAAATTGTATATGTACAAACACTTTTTTCTACACAGACAACTAATGTCTGTGTACACCGACACTGGTTTCCCAACCCCCTGAACTTGCAAACCAATTTTGTTCACACCGACACTTTTTTGTTTACATAGACAACTAGTGTCTGTGCACACTGACATTGATTTTCGTGCAACCTGCCTAGCAGATCCATCAGATCTGCAAACTCACACCGACAAGTTAATCGAAAGTGTCTGTATTTTTATGTTTTTTGTCTGTGTGAATGTGGTGTACTCCAGGGTGTAACCCAGGGTGTACACCAAGAAGGATTCCTCTCATTTATGGCGTTCCCGTTCTCTACATCTTTGTATGTCCCATCTCACCTCTTTTCTCTTTTTAGTTGCCCCATAACTTATGTTAGTGTCCTTTTATAGAACTCTATGGTTGAATGGATGTAAAATCAATCTCTCACCAAAACATGCTAAGGTGTGAAGTCACTGATCCATTACTTCGATCATCTCCCACATGCTAAGGCGTCACGTATTTCAGATCTAAAAAATGTGAAGTGTTTTATAATATCAGATTTGCAAACACAAAGAAGTTCAGATGTAACCAGGGGCGGAGCCAGGACACTGGGCCAGTACAAAGAATATTTTTGAAAAAAAAATTTACTCGGAATTTTTTACCCTAAAAATTTAGACATTTTTGAAATTTGGGCTGGGCCATGGCCAGGGATGGCCACTCCCTGTCTACGCCCCTGGATGTAACCTTTAACTTTCCCAAATGTTTACCATTTACCACTCTCTAGTTACATTTGTGTTGTTTATTTGTTACATCCTATATATGAATATGTGATTTTCCCAAACACATGTGTTTGGGTTGCCTAGTGTGATGAGTGGATTTGTGTACGTGCATGGTTTGCCTTGTAATTATAAACTTGTGCAACCCACTAATAAAATATGCTTACAATAAAATGGTGTACACTTGAACTAGGGAGTACATGAAAAATTGTATTGTCATCAATGTGAAGTATATACAAAAAATTGTACATATAACTGAACAAAAAGTGATATACACACTCTAGCCTGTGTATACATAATAGATACGTAGTCTATACAATTGTATGTTTAAGAGAAACAATTCAAAGATGCCACTACACTATTTGTCCCTATTGTGTTGGTTGCCATGTGTTGGTTCACGTGTGTTTTAGATGTGTTATATCCTTCTTCACTAATTTAAACATTTTTGGGTAATAAACTTTGTCTTTCCAACTTGTCATTTCCGACATGTTTGAGCCAACACACCTTGTTGTGTTTCAAAATTTCATCCATTACATATTAGTAGCTTGAGAAGAACTTATTTAAGTTCTGAGATGTCAGCTCATTGAATGTTTTTTGTACTAATTCTATCAAATTTGTGATCAATTTTGGTGTTTTTTATCTTTCAAAGAATCAATAGCCCTAAAAACCTATGTCCAACATGTTTAAATTTGGGCTATTTGACGTTTATTTTCTACATTTGACCACTCCTCATTATTTAGTGACAGAACTTTGGTGATCATCATGTCTTTAATTACTAGTCACATTGAATGTGACCTTAGTCTCTAAGGTCCCAGTTGGCCTATTCTGATCTTGCTTTCTCTCTTTGATGTGTCCTCATAAGTGAATAAAAATACACTAATTTTTCCATCTCATAATACCTCCCCTAAGTTACCTATTCTAGGCCTACCTAATGTATTAGAACATGGCTTTTGATATGATTTTTTTGGATCATGTTGTTCTATATGGATTCTCTTCTATTGGGAAGTTATAAAATGTTATTGTTTCTTTTGATAAATAGAATCACTTCTCATCTACGTGTACATAGGGGTGGATTGGGCCGGTTTGGCTTGACCCGGGACTCAGCCCGACCCGTTATTGTGCTAGACCGGCCCGACCCGGTCGGCTGGGACTGGGGCCCGAACCGGGGCATTAATGTGGCGGGCTACGGCCTTGCTAAATGATGAACCAACCCGGCCGGGCTGTTCAAATTTTTCTCATTGGGTTGGAATTAATTCGAATATACCCAAAAAATTATAAAAAAAATGAGTCCCGACCCGTCCCGGACCCGGTACAAACCCGGGCCGGTATCGGGACTGAATATTCGGAACCCGGAGCCCGCCCCAACCCGCCCCAGGCCCGATCCACCCCTATGTGTACATGATTGCAGAAATCATGAAAAGTGGGGTAAATGGGAAGTCAATGAGGATGTTATGACTTAGGAAGAATTCTAACCTTTTGAGGCATTCCTTTTTCGAATAAATTTCACTTTTGGTCCTTCAAGTTTTAGGTGAATTCCATATTTAACCCACATCTTTCATTTTGTCCACTTTTGATACATGACTATTGTGTTTTCGCCCACATATAGTCCTTCCAGCAATGTTTCTAAAGATTAAAATCGTCGGAAAAGGACCACAAACGGTTAAAAAACATAAGTCAAGTATTAAAAGTAAACAAAGTGAAATAAGTGGACTAAATATAGAATTGACATAAAACTCTCAGGATCAAGAGTGAAACTAATTCTTCCTTTTTTCTATCAAAAGATGCTTAATAGCATTATGATGCCTTTTAATTTGTTTTATATTGAACCACCTCTGCACAATTGACTCTGATACTTCTGTAGCATATGTAAATGTCCTCATATTTTTCCTGTGATGATAAAGGAGTTTTTTGACATTTTGTGCAAATCAAATGCAACTCTTTTTTATCCATTTGCAGAATTATCTACCCATTTGCTCTGAACATTTATGGATGCCCCACACTATATTTATGTCTTTGCTTTCAGTAACACCTGTTTACAGTTCTTGATGTACTGAATTCATTTGCTACATTTGTTATCATACCCCTTTGAAGCTTTCTATTGCTTGCTTGACCTGCGATATCTCTATTATTATTCTTTGTTGGGAAAAGGGTCAGATAGACCCTCGAACTTACATGAAAAGGTCAAATAAGGCCTTATATATGAACTGCACAGTTATCTTCAAGAATTCATTTAAATGTCTTCCCGATTGAAGTTTTGGCTGAAATTTGGTATGAGTAAAGTAGACTTAATGAATAAGATTCTCAAAAAAATTCATCAAAAACTTCCACCGGGAACCGCCCCAAATGGCGACAACCAGACAGAGCCTCCTATATAAGGGCTTATTTGACCTTTTTATGTAAGTTCGAGGGCATATTTGACCATTTTCCCTTCTTTATTTTTCTTTTGACAACTTTAGTCAGTGTTTATAAGGGTCTGTCAAAGATTAGCATCATTGATTATTGAAAAACTCAAAGATTACTAACTAAAATTAAACAAAAGGAGTATAGAATTGATGTCAAATTCTCTTACAATGTGTATTTTCACATACAAATTGTACAAGGGGTGGTGTATTTTTACTAGACCAAAATTTTATATCAAAATTATGTAAGATGTATGTTTATATATCAAAGTTAGCATGATCAAGCTGTTCCTTACACCTCTCAACTCTAGTAGTCTAGTTACTAAATTTATTATCGAACATCAATCTATAGATAATACATTTCAAAGATACAATTATGGAATGTTTTGCCATGTGTCATCTTCTAAGCAAACCTTTAATATTCTAAATTAGAAATTAGAATATTTAGAGTACGAAGTATTCTAGATTTGCATTTAGAAGTGTAATTACGTTAGGAGTAAACCAAGGAATCTCCAACCAAATTCATCTCTATTTTTAAATCGATATACCTTTTTCATTTGTAATTTTATTTTTATAAAAAGTTATGATTTTTTATTATCTTTCATATGACATCAATATTGCATATGTAAAAATAAAAAGAAACTTTTGAGTATACCATAGATGGAGGTTTTTAGGCTTAGTTTTTTAAAAAATATAGATCCACGCTTTAAAATTAAGATCTCATGATTGTATAGCGTAATTTTATGCTGCAATTATGGGACAATTTATTTATTGACTGAAAGTGTCAATAAAGGCATATTAAGTTCTATAAAATTTATTTAAAAACAACAACACAAATAGAATCAACAAAACAACTCAGTTAAGACTTTCTTAAAAATCAGAAAACATAAAGAACACTAGCCAGTCAGAAGAAAGTAGAAGTTACATGTTTGGGAGTTGGGACCCCCAACTTAAAAAAAAAACTTTTTTCAAAATTGCTATAGCTTTTTGTATTTATAATTTGATATTTTCAAAAAAACATATCAAAATTTATAATAATATTATTATTAGGGTTTAGTATTTCATAATTACAATTTATGAAGCCAGCTAGGAAAGATTGAATGCAAAAATATAGGGATGCAGCCATGGAGCTCATCAAACACTTTGAGCAATCCGATCTGATTTGCAATCAATTTTCAAAATTTACAATTTATTATCTTTCGTATGGCATAATTATTGCATATATAAATATAAAAATATAAATAAATCTAAACAGACGGTTAATGGCACCCTTTTGTTTATTGCCTGAAGAAAGTAGAAGCTAGCATGTTTGCGACCCCCAACTTTAAAAAAATCTTTTTTAAAATTACTATAACTTTTTATATTTACAATTTGATTTTTACAAAAACAAAATGTATCGAAATTCATAATTTATAATTATCTTTCGTATGATACCAATATTTATATATAAATCTAAAAAAAATCTAAATATACAATTGATGGAGGCATTTTATTTATTTCCTTAAAGTGTCAATAGAAAATGATTGCGATTCACTTAATTTTAGAACTTGGATCCACTTAAGAAAAATTTTGAGCCTTAAAACCTCCATTAACCATATATTTAGATTTATTTTTATTTTTATATATGCAATATTGGTGTCATACAAAAGGTATGTAATAATACTTTATGTATTCTGATATATTTTTTTGTAAAAATCCTTATTATAAATAAAATAAGTTATAGCAATTTTAAAAATGATAATTTTTTTAGCATCCTTTGTGTTTACTCCTTTCCCTTGATTTGCTAGCATATCCTTTGTGTTTTTTGGTTTTTGAATATACCATAGATGGAGGTTTTTAGGCTTAGGTTTTTAAATACCATAGCTTCGTTCATGAGAAACATCCAATTTTTGGAGAAAGTAGCCAACTTAGTTAGTGGCTTTAGTTAACCTGAGTTAGTATTGTTTTGGGAATTTTTTTAAAATCAGTCTTAATTTTGTAAATAATTTTTATTTTACATTATTTTGGAAACAAAACTCGCCAAAATGTGATGAGAAGCACATTTTGAGCTAGAATAGAATTGTCTAGCCTATGGATATGGTAATCATTTTCTAATTGAAATAATGTCAAAAATAGTACCTCCGACTTATGAGTGGACAAAAGTAGATCATCTCCTTTTTTTGGACAAAAAAGGGACCCCCCTTTCTCACCTTCCCGCTGGCTTACGGATCGGAAATACGGAGCTTCACTCCTCTCCCTCATCCAGCCATCTTCAACCATTGTCAGCACCTACTCTCCTTGCGACCAGAGACGGCGGAAGCGGCGGCTTCATGTAGATACGACGGAGACGGCTTCATGTAGAGACGGCGGAGACGGCTTCAAATAGAGATGGCGGCGACGGCTTCAAATAGAGACGGCGGCGACGGCTTCAAACAGCGACGGCGATGACAACTCATCTCCATCTTTTCTTCTCCTTTCCTCTTTTCTGCAAACTGCCACCGCTCGTACCGTCAGATGAGTTGGGAGTTGACGGTGGTTTTGTTGTTGAACAGATCCGCCGTCAACCTGAAAAATCCGTCGTCTAACTCGCACAGATCTGAAATTGCTGACTCTTTGGAGCAGGTACTGGCTCATGGGGGCTGTAAGTGGTGGCAGGTGGCTGGATCTGTGCAGTGACGGGCTGTTCAGGGCGGCGTAGGGGAGGGGATGTCACAGTTGCAGGGGTTGGGTATGGGGTTGGGAAATCAGGTCTGCAGGGGAATGAGGGTGTTTGACGGAAAAGAGCAGATTTCTTACCTTACATTCCAAAAAGTGCAATTTTTTGGGGATTTTCTGAGATAGTGCAAAAAGGAGTTGGCAGTTCCGAAACAATGTTGTCAGTATTAAACTCATTTTCGGAGTTCCCAAGCTCGAAAATAGAACCCGCCAAAATGTTTGCAAAAATGGAACTTGCCATTTTCGGAGTTGGCAACT